TTTGTAAGTTCATCAGGAGGAATTTTCCTGATATACCTACAAAGAGAGAAACAGTCTGTCAAAGACAAAATTAAATAAGTGGTTTTACTATATATATAAGTGTTTTTACTATATATATATATATATATATATATATATATATATATATATATATATATATATATATATATATATATATATATATATATATATGTGTGTGTGTGTATGTATATATATATATATATATATATATATATATATATATATATATATATATATATATATATATATATATATATATATATATATATATATTAGGGTGGTCCAGATTTGTGTGGTGAAAATTCAAAGTGTGTCTAGATTCTCTCCACAAGCCTAACTTTGTTCCACTATGCTTAGGGAATAACCATACAAAAAATTGGACCAATCTGAACAGTTTTAGGGGTCGCTATGATTTCAACATTTTTTTGACGGTACTCGATTTTTACAAAATTTTGTGTAAGTTTTGCATAATTGAACATCTATCTCAACATTGTGGTAAATAAATTAATGCTTGCTGAAAAGCAGATGCTATATAAATTCATTTATATATCTAATATCTTTTAGTTGTCTATTGTCACATGATTTGGCGGCCATTTTGTAATAAGCACATGTCTGCAGTATTTCAATAAAAATTTTATAAGGATTATTTTTTTATTTCTGGTAACAAATATTCTTATACTTAAGTATTATATTTTATATATATATTTATTATATAGTTAATATAATGAATTACAAATAAATTAATATTAAATTAAATAGTTTTCAAAAAGAATATGCTATAAAAATTCATTTATATATCTAATATCTTTTATCAATTGTCACATGATTAAGTGACCATCTTGTATTAAGCACATGCCTGCAATATTTCAAAACAAATTATGTTTTTCAGTAATGTTTTTTCATTTCTGTTAATAATATAAAGTACTAAATATTAATTATATAAAATTAAATAGTTGAAGAACAAAGAATCATTTCAACTTAAACTTCTGCAGGTAATTAATAAATAATAAAAATATATATTACACCACTTATGGCAGTTACTACAAGAAGCTCTGCAGAGGTATGGCTCATTGGGAAAGCATCTAAGCAGCTCTCCTCGTCAAGATTGGCAACAAATGGAGATGTCCTCCGGTGTCTCCTCTTTCATCATCTGGAAGAGCATCTCACAATAAAGGACAGCATTCATCATACGATTCAAGAGCTGATTGTTATGTGGAATAAGGCAAGAATCCCAACACAAAGAATTGATTCTGGTGAAAGAAAACTTCAGAAATTATACGATTCCTATCTGCTCCTAAAAAAGAATCGAACTACAGACCTGGAAAGCAGTAGAATTAAAGAACAGATGTTCAAAGACACACTTTACGAGCTTTTTGACTTGGCAACTAAAACCGCAATGGAGACAATAACCATTGCTGAAGATTTCTTGCAATGCAGCGAGAAGATGTTACCAGCTGCAGCATGGCTGGAATTGATAAGAACTTACTGGCAAAGGAAGCCCGGAAGAGAGCTCAAGATCAAGCATATGATACAAGGTTATCAAAACAGCAACACTCCAGTGGTCATCTCGATCCTGTCTCAGCCAACATCAGCAGCTCAGAAGACAGTCAAGACAGTGATGACGACCCAAGTTTTGAGATTCTTTCTTCTGCATTGCAATCTGTTTTTTCTACACCAAAGCCAAAGCGTCTGAAGAGTATTGTTTCCAGCCCGGAAGTTGCTGGAGCTTTGGACAGAGTTAACCTTCCAGATCGCAAAGCTATGTTCGTTGTCGCTTCAGTGGCTAAGGCACTGGGACATCCTCTTGCAGACTTAACTCTGTCTCGAAGTACAATCAGGAGATCTCGAATGTCAAACTTTTCCATTGAATTTCCTTTGCTTCTACACTGGGATGGGAAACTGCTTCCAGATATCACCGGTTCAAAAGAAACCGTGGACCGAATTGCAGTGATTGTAGCTGGAAATGGTTTGGAGAAATTGCTAGCAGTTCCAAAAATTGGAATAGGAACAGGAGAGGAACAAGCAGCAGCTTGCTTAAAAATCTTGGATGATTGGAAAATTCGAGACAAACTTCAGGGTTTAGTCTTTGACACAATCTCGTCCAACACAGGTATCCACAAAGGAGCTTGTGTTCTCATCGAGAAAGCAGTTGGTCGTGATCTTGTAAATATTGGTTGCCGCCACCATGTTCTGGAGGTCATTCTTAGCAATGTCTTTACAGCTCTCTTTGGTGGAACAGGGGGACCTGAGGTTGGCTTGTTTAAACGGTTTCAGAAGTGGCCATATATTCAGCAAGCGAGATTCTCTCCAGCTAAAGGTGAGCTCTTCATCGGAGATATGGAAATCCTTCGAAAGGAAATGGTAGCATTCTACACCAGAGCCATCGACAAAAAACAACCTAGGGAAGATTATCTTGAACTACTTCGGTTATGCCTGGTCTTTCTAGGGGGAGGCTCTGTTGGTGCTGAGATAAAATTTCGAGCTCCAGGAGCGATGCATCATGCTCGATGGATGTCAAAGGCCATCTACGCTCTGAAAATGGTACTATTTTAAGATCAGCTCACTCTGACTGTTCGAGAGAAGAAAGGTCTAGTAGAGCTTGGATTGTTTGTAGCATTAATTTATGGACGTTTTTGGCACGAAGCTCCACTGGCTGCAAATGCTCCGTTTAATGATGCTCAAATGCTGAAACAGTTCCAAAAGTATCCAAACCGTACAATCGCCGATGCAGCTTTTACTGCATTTTCTCGACACCTTTGGTTCTTCTTGGAACATCTTATAGGTCTGGCATTTTTTGATAGTTGCGTTGATCTGGATGTGAAGAGGGCCATGGTGGTTAACCTCCAACTGCCCAAGACAACTCTAGCACTGAAGAGAGTAGATTCCAAGAATACCGACTTCAACAGACTAGAGACATTCGTGACTATGAGAACCTATAGTTTATTCGAGTTGAGCAGTACAGGGAGAGAGGAGGCAAGAAACTTCATTTCAAAAGATCCTAAATATTGGGAGGACGATGAATCATATCAGAAGTTGGCAGAGAGAGTCCAAAGAATGAAAGTTGTTAATGACAACGCAGAACGTGGAATTGCATTAATTGGACAGTACAACGAATCGATTACAAAGGATGAAGAACAAAAGCAGTTCCTACTTCGTTTTGTTCAACGTCACCGCCAGCTATACCCTACTTCATCCAAGGCAGCCATGTTGGCGATAGATGACGAATTCGTTGATTAATAAACATACATTTTTCAACATATTCACAATATTCTTGATATTACAGTTTTTTGTTTAAAAATTACGAAAGTTACGAAACGTTGATATACTTTAATAAAAATTGATCAATTGATGATCTATATTCATTAGATACTCTACAGGCATTCTATTTACCTGATTTAAATTGTTAGTGGCATTAATTTTTAAATTCGATATTATATTTATAGTGAAAATTTAAATTTTTTGATTTTTTTATCATTGTGGTCAAAAAGTCTAAATTTATAGCAACCCCTAAATATTATCCGATTTGCTTCAAATTTGGCTACAATATTGCAAATATTAATAGGAACAAAGGCAGCCTTGTGGAGAAATGAATTTCAATAATTTATAATTTTGGACCACCCTAATATATATATATATATATATATATATATATATATATATATATATATATATATATATATATATATATATATATATATATATATATATATATATATATATATATATATATATATATATATATATATATATATATATATCCCCAACAACAAAATATTAAACCATATATCTATGGGTTAGGAAAACCCTTTATTAATATGTAAGACAAGAATGTGTTCCAAAATCTTTGAAATATTGTAACCAGAGATACCAGCTAAATATTGAAAGAAACTCAAATTTTTAAATTTAATTACAAAGTCTAATTCATTCCACTATTAACTTTTGTTGTAGTTACATAATATAGTGTTAATAAATGAATCACTTGAAGTGTGAATCTGACAAAGCATTTGTGAACAACCTCAAAATCATTCAAACCAACATATTACTTACATTCAACCTCAAATGCAAATGACAACTTCATTGTCAATGCAATATTAACTTCATTATTAAATAAAAAATCACTTTTAACAATATTTAGCAAGAATAAGCTAACAAAGTTAAAATTATTTTGAAATAAAATTGTGTTTATATGTCTGCTTTAAGAAAGGTAAACTATATAGCAAAGTTATTGATTGAAACATTTAAACAATTAAAATCTAAAATTTTAAACCATTTTTTGTTTATGGCCTCAACATGATATGTTTTGATGACAACAGAAAATGATAATGATGGTATGGGTAACATAATGGCTGGAAATAAGGAAAAACCTTATATATATCAGGTATAAAAAAAAAAAAAAAAAAAAATGTATTTGATATTATAAGGTTAACCTTGTATGATGGAAATCAAAAAAAGTTAATATAATAATAATAAGAGCAAATAAATTCTTAAAAAATTAATAATAACAAATAAACAAACTCAACTAAAAAATTGACAACCTTATCCACAAAATAATTCCTTACTTTAGAAAGCCAAGAACACTTCTCCATGTGTTTGACTCATCAAAAATGTCTATTGACTAAAATTATATATATCATAGGACTAAATTTATATCAGAATATTCTAATTCATCAAAAATAAAATTTTATTTAAAAATATATAAAACTCTAACCATAGCTTCAGTATGTTCCAAATTTTCTTTATCATGCCTAAAAAGCTGAATAAAAATATTATTTTTATTTTTTGTTTTATACTTTTACTATTATTGTTTTTAATCTTTACTAATTATATTCTTTATTGATGAGCAAACAATTGCCTAATGTTTTAAATTAAAGGCAATATTGTCAAAAATATGTGCTTATGTGTGAATACTGTTTGTTCAATATAGCCAAATTTAATAATATTAGCCCATTATTGTTTACTTATATTGGCGCAATATTGGCTTGGTATTATTCACTAATTTAACACCTCAATACTTGCATGCCAATACTGTTAACAAGTTTGATAACTACAACATTGACAGAAGTTTCTTTATTAGTTAACTTATGATGTAATTAATTAGTAATTAAATTTTGTAAAAAAATAAAAAAACAAAAAAGATATTCTAATTCAATTTATAAAATTACAAGAAGAAGTGGCTGTAAGTAATTTAAAACAGAATGCATTAAAAAAAGAAGTTGTAGAAATATTTTAAATATTGATATAGAAATATTGTTTCTATATCAAATGATGAAATTAGTAGATTTTTAACATAATTTTTTTTTTTACAAACCAAAATATTGATTTGTATCAGTTTGATACAAATCAAGATAATATAATTATAGAATATATGTTTTTAAGATATAATATAGAATATACATTTTTTTATAAATAGTACATATCTTTCGTAATTTTTTAATCTGTTTTAAGAATCAATTTACTTTTTTTTCAAGTTGTTAGATTATAAAACATGAACATAAATATATGTTATATATTTAGTGCAGTGTTATTGTCTGGTGGTGATATTTAAAGGAATACAGTGTTATTGTCTGGGAGTGATATTTAAAGAAATATAGGTTAGATTTCATAAAGTTTATTTTACTTTCAAAAACTTTGTATAAACTTTACATATGCACCCTATAATTGCACTAGCTACTAATACCCTAAAGCTGACTGGGATTCTTTTTGTGATTTTCTTTATGACAGTTCTTGGGTTGATATCTTTTCTCTCTCAGTTGATAAATGCGCTTCCTACATTACCTCCAGGATTTAGGCAGGAATGGATGCTTTTATTCCTTCCTCCTTAGTTGTCAAGCCTCACTCTACTCCATGGTTTTCACATTCTTGTACAGTTGCTATGTCTAATCGTAATCATCTTTTTCACAAGAACTCTCTTGAAAATAAACAACTACTTATTATTGCATGAAATCGTAAAAGGTGTTGTCTGATGCTAAGCTACATTATTCTCAGTTCAGTAAATCTCACATCCCATATCTTATCTCAGAAGTTAGGCTCTAGAGACTTTTGTAAAATCTTCAACAACATTCAACAATTACAACAATTACTTTGTTAACAATGGAAAGTCTAACATTCCATTTCTCATTACCTCTCCCAAGGATAAAGCTGAACTATTTGCAAAGAACTTTTCTTCTAACTTAACTCCTAAATCTTATGGCCATTTCCTTTTTTCCATTCCAGTTAATCAGGTTAACCCTTTGTTAGGCATGAAAATCATTTCAGCATTTGCTAAAGTCATACCTCAATTAAACTCTTCTACGGCTAGTGATCCAGACAACATTCCTATCATAATCTTACAAAAGAATTCTCCAGAACTCTTTTTAAACTATTTAATAGATGTTTGACTAAGTCTTGTTTTCCTGCCTGCTGGTAAATGGTATCTGTTGTCAAAATTTCAAAAACTCTGGTAAACATTTTGACCTCTCCAATTATTATCCGATCAGTCTTTTTTTTGTTATTAGCAAGATATTTGTATCTTCGATCAACAAAGTTCTCACAACTCATATCGAGTTAAATAACTTATTGTCAGACAATCAATACAGTTTTTAATCCTATTGCTCTCTGGCTGACTTGAGTTGAGCTGTGACTGAAAGATATTATCTTGCATTATATGGTTTGCAGTGACTGTAAATTTCAACTCCAACAAAACTCAGTTATTTACTGCAAACAACTATTGCAATACTGTTGACATTCCTATATTAATGAATGGCAACCCTATTTCTTGTCTTTCTCCTAATTTCATTCTCTACAATTTGATTAAAATTTAAAAATCAATTTTTTATTATATTTTTTTCTTTATTTCTATGTTTTTACCTTTATTATCTCAAGACTGTAGGGTTATCTTTCATGTTAAACTGCAAAGATTATGTATTATAAACATGTCTACTTTTTATTATTATTATTTTATTTCTTTAGTTCTATTTTGGTGTTCTATCAACTATTGTCAGTTTACTTTGTCTATTATTAAAATGTAATTTTTATTTAGTAAACATTAATGATTTGAAATTTACTATGTTAACCTAACAAATAATAGTTTTATTTATTTTTTGGTTGCATTATAAAGTTAGTTTTTATTTTAATTATTATGTTTTGTTGCTGCTACCAATGTTCAGTATCAACAACAGTAACAGATTAATTGATAAACAATATTAGCATCAACAACAATAACAGATTAATTGATTTTTAGTGTTTATTAGAAGTGTTATATTAGAGCTCCAGCTTTGTAAACCATAAGTTCCAAGATTCATTCCGGCAATACCAATAATTATCTTACTTAAGACTAGTGTTTTTGAAGTAATCAGTTAAGAAATGATAGCAACAACAACAACAACAACAACAACAACAACAACAACAACAACAACAACAACAAAATATCATCCTCTGCCCCATGGCCTCGGTAGGTGAATACAGTACAAAAAAAAAATTAAATAATTTAGTAAGGTCACATAATTTAATAACTTAAAGTTAAAGTTGGATATCAAGAAAAGGGTGCTAGAGTTACAATTAATATATAGTTGTATAAGTTGTGTGTGTGAGAGTGTTAATGTATAATATAAAAAAACTTGTTGTTGAGATGTCATTTTTAAGATAAGAGTCAAAAATGGAATATATATTATATAATATATATCAACCAGATTTTTAGAAATGACAAATTATGACATTTATATAGACTAATTCTGCCCAAATAGGTTCAACATTATTTTTTAATCTATTTAATTTTAGTTTTATGTCTTGAAATTGTGAAAAAAAAAAAATTACTTTTTTCCAAGATATTAAAAACAAGATGGCTTAGTCTTAATTTTTTCTTAATTAGAATGATTTAAACAGTTGGATTAAAGTGAACAATAAAAAAACTAATAAAAAGTGAACAATAAAAATAGTGCTGATTAGAACATCATGCATTTTTTTATTAATTTTTATGTGATTTGTTAACTAGAAATGGTAAGCAGTGGAAAAGTGTAGATAAAACACTCATGTTATTGATAAAAAGAAAAAAAAAAAGATTCAACTGAAGATAACTAAATGGCATTAAATAAAGTATTTTCTGTTAAAAAGATATCAGGAAAAGTAGAAAAAAAACCTGTAAAAAAAAAAAAAACTAAAAAGAAACCTAAATAATGTTGCAAATTTTATTTTCAAAAGTCTAATACTTTGAAATATTTTAATAAAAAATTCAGTTAATGTTATTTATAAACTCATTAGAATTGTCTTATCAGAGATTCATTGAGATGAAGGAGATGCAAAAACATCAAAATATCAATAGTCTAAAGTGAGAGTTATTATATTATGCCTTAAATATAGGGAAATAAAGATGCCACCTTCACAACAGTTCACTCCATACTTCACAACAGTTTAATCTTCTCTTTAATTTCTATTATCACATTAGTTGTTAAGGGTTTCAAAAAACATACAGTCTATTAAACATTGCTTTTTTAAACAGTTTAATTCAGTTGGAAACAAAGTAAATTGGTCAAAAATAAAATAGTCCCAAAAAGAACCTTTTTTGTGTACAGTAATCATTTTAGCTACTTTAAATACTTTTAGAAAAACACCATTTTAAAAAGAATAATTCATTATAGTACATAGAAATTATGTACTATGATGAATTAATGAGTGTAATAAACTATAAATGTAGAAGAGGAAGTAAAGTAAGAAGAAATTTAGGAGAATTTATATCTACAAGACTATTTGTATTTGCAAGAATATTCTTTATTAAATCGGATACTTCATTTCCATTCAAAGGATGAAAAAAACACAAATAAGTATCAAATCTTAAGGAAGTTGTAAAAACATTTAGAATTAATGTTTTTTTTTTAATTTATCTTAAATAAAATGACAAAATACTTAAATATATTAACTACAAAAAGTATGATGTGACATTTTCCTTGATTTTGAGACAAGAAAAAGTATTAGTAGAAGGCTTAATGCTTATGATCTTTGGTTCTTTTATAAGTAATTGCTTGTTAAATTTGTCAACAATTTTAAAATACTTTACAAATTCAGTTAATTCTATAATTTACTTCGTTAATATCAAAGTTAACATCAATCCAGGATTATCAGAGTACTAATACCCGAAAGAAAGATTATGCCTTAATATAGCGAGAAATAAAAATTCCACCCTTTACAACAGCAACAACATCAATATATAAGACAACCAATAAAATAGACTAAAAGCATCAATAAGTTTTTATTTAAAAACAAAATATTCAACTAAATTTTACTTTTTAAAATATTTTTTTATTTTGTGCAAAAATTAAAATAAAATAATAAAATCCTCTGCTTACTTTGGACTTGAACAGGTCTTTAATAAAACATAATTTGCCAAAGTTCTCTGAACCCTTTAAAATAATTGAATGTTAATGTTAAAAAAAAAAAAAAAATTAAATTTAACAGAAAATAAATTTTTATTTCAGTCAAATACAACTATCAAAATATGAACAATAAATTTGCAAACCATAAATTTATTTAACTGATGTCACAGCATAAACAATTTTATTAGTTGTAAAAAAATAAAATCCAGCTATATAACAAAATAGCATTCAAGTTATCAATCAAGCAAAAAAAATACATGTTAAGTAGAGGATAGGTCTAAGATTTCTTATCTTTCAAGAAAATAAATGAAAACATTGTTACGCATTAACAAAGTTATAAGTGTATTAAAGATTATTTTTTATATAGTTACCCTATTTAATATTTTTAACTTCCTCATAATTATTATCAAACCATTGATTTATTTCATTTAACATTTAAAAATTTATTTTAGATTGACTCTTGATTCCTTAAACATTTGAGTTCAAACTCAAAATTTAGACAAAAACCTCAATCTAGTTCACTTTGTTACTTATACTTTTTTTTGCTTGTTTTTTCAGTTTACTAAAAAAAAAATAGTAAAAATATTATAAATGATTATTTTTCAATTAAAAACATTTGTTAAAAATAGAGCTTTTGGAAACAATGGAGTTCATCCAAATGTATTAAGAACTTGTAAAGATTAAGTGTTGCTATTGAAAGCACTTTTAAATTGTCCCTTGTTTCATGATATCTATTATGGAAATATATTAGAAAACAACCATTATTCAAATTTAGTGAAAGAAAAGAAAAGAGCTAAAGGCAACAGAATATATAAATAAGAAAGAGAAGAATTAAAAAACTATAAGTTGTATTAGTCAAAAAAACATGAAGACAGAATTTAATTCTAAAGCATTTACATAGGAAGGAAAAACTAGACTAAATAAAGGTTTTTGAGCTTCTAAGCAAGTATAAGGAAATACTTCTTAATTAAGAAAACCAATATAAAGAAATCTTATGAATAAAATCAACATAAAAGACTTTACCAAAAGGTTTTTGATAAAACCTTTTGACGGTTAACTTAAAACATAAAATAAATGAGTCTAACCATTCAGTATGATAAGTCATCAAAGATAGTAAAAGTTTAGCAGATAGAGCTTGGTCAATTTGAACATAATTTTAAAAAGTCAAAAGAAGAAAGAACATAGATGTGCTATGTGAGTAAAGGTCATTAATTTATACTACAATGATCATGCTTATAACAACAGAATATGCTACTAACAGGTTGGATGATAGTTAGAAGAAGACAGACTAGTCGGTTTAGCACTACTTAATGTATACGTTCAATTACATTTTCAGGATTTACTAGACGTTCTAGTAAATCCTGAAAATGTAATTGAACGTTTTGCTAAATCCGGAAATCGTAAACTAGAACAGAAATATTTGAAATATTATGAGAAGCACTAAATTGTGGAAGTGTTTGAGAAGAATTGAGCTTGAGTAATTAAAATATTTAACAATAAATTTGTAAATTTATATACACACAAAAAGCAAATAGGTCTGGTGAAATTAAAAAAAAAAGTAACAATGGTTTGACAATGGCTTTTTATGTTTAACATTTTTTAATATCAATCAACCCTTGCTGAGTAATATAAATTCTTGACCAAAGTTATGTGTGGCTATGGTTATATTAATTCTTATGTGAATCCAGCTATTAACACCCAAAAAGAAGTTTCTACAAGAAAATAGCCAAATGCAGCTTACAACCCAAGATGAGTATATTTATTGAAAAACCATGACTATTTTTATGTTATGTAACCAAGAAACCAAAAAGTAAAAAACAATAACTACTAAAACTACTAAGTTTATTATTTATTTATGAAGTTAATTGGAATATAATCATATGTTGCAGAGAGAAAAAATATCACCTAAAATACTATAAAAATCTTGACTACACATTGCTAATCAAGTTTTTAAATATTCTTTGTTGTTTAAAACTAGATTTTAAGATGAAAACTACATTTTAAGGGCATACTCTTTGTTAGGACAAAGGCTTCAATAACATCCCATAGAATACTATTTTTAAACCAAAGCCAATAAAAACCCAATAAAAAGCCAAAAAAGATGCATGCAACCACTACTTTAACAGAAAACCACTGGTTAATAGAAAACTAAGAAGAGAGTTTGAGAGAAAAAAATTAAAAAGACTTAAAAACTTTTTTCTCTTTCAATTTTTCCTAGCTCTGTATAAGCTAGGAAAAACTGAAGAGAACTCCAACGATGTTCGAAGAAAGAAACAAAAGAAGCTAGATGAACAAAAGGAAAACTTGCTGATTGACAAGTGAGATAGAGCAAATGATGATGAATGAGCTCATTTGCTCACTTAAGCAGAATCAAATAATTCTTCATTACCTTTGGAACAAGTATTAATGTCAAATTCTGTATGATCTGTAGATTTAAATTGTTAAAAGGTTTTCACACAAAAAGTCCCAATTGGGAAACCTTCCATAAGCAACATGGGATTTTTAATACTCTGATATTTTACAGCTATTAATGGAATCAGACTTTCTAAGAGCTTCTACAGGGTTTAGGAAACCTTACTTCCTGCCAACCTCAAACATTAAATTGAGCTTTAGAGCTATACTCCTATTAGAAAATAACAGACTTGCATGGCAGCTACTGTGCCACATGCAAAAACCTATCATCCAAAAACTTATCATCCTAGGCAGAAAACAATGTAATGTAAGTTTACATTTATCCAGGTTATTAGATAAAGAAGGGATATGAGACTAATTAACATAAATTTTCTGTTTACCCCTAAAGTACTTGCAAAAAAAGATTTTCACAAAGCAGTAGCTAGATGCAGTTTTAAAGCCAGGTTGTAAAGGACTACATGTTACCAGTAGCAAAATAGTCATGTTGATCCTAATACTGACCTTTTTTTTTTGCTCTATTATTTTTAAAAACATTATTAGGGACATTAAAAAAAAAAAATGAACATGCTCCATAATTTTAATAAATCATAAAAGTGAAATACTTACATTGATTATTTTACTTTTGTCTAACAAAATTTCAAGTTCTGTCTGACATTTATTTAAAAGAACTCTATTGAACATAACTTCTTCATTAGATGTTAAACCAGTCACAGGTTTCTTTAACTAAAATACATTAAAATATATTTGTAAAAAACATAAAACATTTTGGTTGTTATCACTATTAGGGTATCCCTTAATAATGATAAACATTAAAAAAAACTTAATATATTTAAATAACCATGTTGCACAAATTTTAGAAGGGGTTTGGGTGTTTGACATTTCTAATTTTACACATCATTTAAAATTTGGCTTTTCTAATTTTAACATAATATTGACTGATTTGACGCAGCAACAGGATATTGTTAAAGAGCTAACTGTAAAAGCCAAATGTAACAACATTAGTAGCATATGTAATTACATTCTGCAAAATTAAAAATATAAAAACATCAGAACTTTTTATCAAAAAAAGCGCTTTGACTAAAATTTTTTAATTTTAATTTGTCATAATATTTTTGGTGGTTAAGCGCTTTTCTAAAAAAGTTATAATATCTTTTTACATTTAATATTTGGGTTTAGACCTTATTAACAAGCTGTCTTATCATAATTAACACTTAATTAAGTATAATTAAGTATAATTAACTCTAAATTGATACTAATTAAATATAGTTATCACTTAATACAAATTAATTATAACTATCACTTAATTACTATAACACTTAATACTAATTATTTATAATTATCACTTAATTAATACTAATTAATTGAAATTATCCCTTAATTTTATTTAATTATAATTAACACTTAATACTAACTAATTTTAATTAACATATAATACTGATTAATACTTATTAATTTTAATTAACACTTAATTAATAATATTAAGTTATAATTAACACTTATCAATCAAAAAAGTTTCCAGAAATGATCGAAAAAAGACTTTAAGAGTTTTCAGAAAAACTCTTTTTTTTTTTTGAAAAAAGTTCTAAAGCATTGATATGCGAGACAAAAAAATAGTTAAAACTTTTTAGAGCATTAAAAACAGATACAGTTAAAACTGCAAACTTGCTGATAAATGCATAATGCAAGAATGTTTTTAGGTTGATTAATAGCTTGTTTGAGCAAAAACCGTGACTATTTGTAAAGTATTTGTAGAAAAAGAAAAGAAATGCAACCTTATGATGACAGGAGATTGGTTTAAGCTTGGCATAAAAAACAGTTTATCATGGTTCACAGTCCAACATGGTTCACCACAGGAACAAATAAGAGATTTGTAGAGATATAGAATCAGAAGTAAGAAAATGGTAAGCACAATAAAGAGAAATAACTTTAAAAGATACTAAATTTGAAATGGATTGTATAAATATATTCTGAGAGGTCAGTAGTGAATGATAATCCAAGATAACGTAAAGTTATTATATTAAAGACTCAGCGAGAAGGTTGCCAACCATCAATATAAAAATTTCAACATTACTGCAATAGTTGTTTGCAGTAAACAACTGATTTTTGTTGGAACTAAAATTCACAAGCCACTGCAAGCTCTCACATATTGCAAGCCCCAAGCTGTTACAGAAGAGAGATCAGATTCAAGATCAGCTGCCAATTCTAAGCAATCAAAAAGTGAAAACATTTTATAGAGGAGTATAATGTTGAGTCATTATTAAATAAAGCCACTATAGATGTAAAATTGTTAGGGAGATTATTAATGTAGATAAGGAATAATATAGGACTAAGGATAGAACTTTGCAGTATACTTGAAACTACTGGAAATGACTTGAATGCTGCAGTTAATGCGGTAGTGGTGTAGTGGTAAAAGCGCTCGCTTTGTAAGCAAGAGGTTCGGAGTTTGACTCACACCACCACTCTGGAAGTACCGCGCTCAACTTAATTTATCCGCGCAGCGATCTTGCTTGTCAAGGTTCGTGTTTCGGAGTTAAAGGGTTGAGAGAGGGTTGTACCACGATTTACAACAAAAAAATAAATAAAGAAATTAAAAAAAAACAAAAAAAAAACGAGTAGCCTCGTTTTTTTTTTGTTTTTTTAATTATTTACCTCTCCTATGGGGAGGTAAATAATTAAAAAAAAAAAAAAAAAAAAAATTAGAAAGAAATTATTTGATAATAACAACAACTTTCTTAGACACACTATGAAGCAAGCTTATAGGAGAAAGCTAACATGCCGAACTTTATCAAAAGTTTTTGATATGTTAAAAGCAATAAATTTGTCTTACTGTCTTTAACTAATGCACAATAGAATCTCTCAGTTACAGCAATCAACAAGTCAGCTATAGAGTGAGAAGATAGAAATCCATATTGATTGTCAGAGAGTTATTAGACTCAAGATTAGATGTTAGAAATTTGTTAATAAAAGACTCAAAGATCTTGTTAATCTAAAAGACTGATCAAACAATAGTTAGGTGTCAGAATAATGTTCTCCAGAGTATTTCAAAATTGTAACCATTTTCAGATTCCATTTTCCGACAAGCAGGAAAACAAGGTTCAATCAAGCACTTTTTAAATAATTTAATTGGAATCAAAAAGAGTTCTAGAGAACACTTTAATAAGACTATAACAGGAATAATGTCTGAACCACAAGCTTTAAAAATGTTTAACAAAGAAATGACTTTAGCAAAGTAAGCTGGAGTGATTTAAATGCCTTACAGTAAGTTAACATATTTAATTGGAATGGCAGGAAAAGTGCAGCCATTTGATTCAAAAGTTGAATTAGGAGAAAAGTTCTTTGCCAATAGTTCAACTTTATCTATGGGAGAGGTAATGAGATCAGACCTAAGAATTAAAGATGGAATGTTTGACTTATTTGACCTTCGTTAGAGAGACTGTTGAAAATGTTTCAGAAGTTTATAGAATCTTATGTTTGAGATAAAATACAAGATTTAGTAAATATAGGATAATGAAGTTTCACATTGAACAGCATCAATAGATCTAAATTAAGTTTTAAGATCCTAAAATTTTATCTGTTTTCAAATAATTTAGATGATAATCACTTGACAGAGTCTTATCACCTTTTTTGAACAGTAGTATTATATTCGCTGATCTGAATTAAACTAGAAGCTAATTATTAGTTACTTAGAAAAACAACAAAAAATTTAGCACATTTTTTGATCAGAAATGGATGCACATCAGGACCACATGCTTTATTTGATTAAGACCTTTTGAAGACTAAGAATGATGTCATTTGGATCTAAATCAACTAACTTTAAGTGATTCTTATTAAATTCAACTGTGAAATATGGAAGTTCATCTTCTTCAGTTACAAAAATATCTTGAAAAAACTTGTTTAAGAGATTTTCTCTTTGTTCTCAGGTTAGATCACAGTTGGTTGTTTTTAAGGCTCTGATTGATTCTTTCACTAATTGGATTCAGTTTGATTTTTTCAACTAAATCATTTTTATATGCAAAACGAGCCTATTTAAAATTTTTTTTTCCAATTTGTAAGTCAAGTTTGTACTCTTAGCACAGTTTAAAATCTTTCCATTTACGTGCGCAGTTTATGTATCTGAGATTTTTTTTTTTTTCTAATTATTAAGATTTTTAATATATGTTTTTGATACATGGAACAATTGTTTTTTTTATTCTAGATATATCAAGTATTGGAATAAACTGATTACATGTGACATTGAAAAGGTGAACTATTTATCGTACATTAGCTAAACTGATAAAGTTTCAAATAGCAGTACCCAATCAATGTTAGTAAGAGATTTTAACTGTGTCAGTATTTTGTAATTAAATTTTATGATCTATTTTTTATAAAGAATAGATCTATAAAAGATCTATAAAGAATCAGAAAGATCTATAAAAATTATATGGCCTGAACCACCTAGAGGAAAACAAAGTGAAACTGAACAATAGCTAAGGTCAGAGGCAAGGCACATATCAAAAAGTAAAAGTAAGTGATTAGGGTTGTCTGGAGTCACAAAGTTAAGTATCAAAGTTAGATATTGAGAAATTCAGAATTTATGAGCATTAACACCAGCAGAGTCAATGATGTTAGTGTTAAGCCATTCTGAGTGAAGAGCATTTAAGTCACCAATAATAACAATATTGGCTTAGGGATAAGGAGAAAGGGCTGTCGTAAGAAGAAGGATATTATCAAAGTGCAAAAAGAAAGATGGTTAAGTGAAGAGGTGATAACAGCCATCAGCACAGAGATCCCATAATAAAGCAGCTGAATTCAAATTAGTCTTGCAAATAAGAAGTAAGCCTGATGAATTTTTAAAGATGTAAGATTCAACTGATGAAAAGTTCACTTAAAATTCCACAAACATTTTTAAAAGATAGATTGAAACAGTTAGGTGGTGGTGATAGTATATTATGTTTAATATTTTTGGATTTTTTGGTTATGATTTAAGTTAAAAAGAACTTGACTCCTTGATAGAGACTCCTAGATATCCTAGTCCTAGATAGAGGATTGCACCCCAAGCAATGAGCTATGCCATTGTCTCAGTCCTGCTAATTAACTTAAAGCCATAATAAAGGGCTACTTATGTGGCTTCATCAATGTACAACAAAAGGTGGCTTCAACAATGCACTAACAGGGACACCACCCATGCACAAATTGGACTTTTAATACTCTTATATTTTATAATTGTTGATGAAATCATCTTCTTTAAGAGCTACCACAGAGTTTGGGAAACCTTACTACTTAGCTTACTACCAGCCAGCTGCCTCTGAACCATTAAACTGAGTTTTAAAGCTGTACCTTCATTAGGAGATATTAGGAAGAGTTGTATATTATATTTCCTTATAATATTATAATAATTTAATAACAATAAATGCAATTTCATTGTCCAGGAAACAAATACTGCAAAAATCCCTAAATTTTATTCAAACTTCAATCAAAATGTTACTTACGCTGCACTTAAACCTATTTAACTTTTGCTTTGTCAACTAAGACAACAACACAATCCAATCCATCTCTGAACTAAGCATTTTAGCAAACTTGTCTAATAAACAAAGTAAGTATAATTAACTTTGCAATATTTCTACATGTGATGTTATTGAAAAGAAAAAAACACCAAAACCCTAACAACATCAACCCTAACTTTATTTAACTTTAAATTAAATTATTTTATATTCATTTTTATATATATATATATAATATATCGG